GTCCTCTTCAATTCTGAGACGGACAATCAAATCTTCAAGCGACATCTCTTTTCGCTTGTGTTTTTCAAGTAGTTCTTGAAGACCCTCCATGAGGGTGGTAACTTCTCGATGAAGGCAGCTACTTGAAAGCTTCATCGATCATCATACCTTCAGCAAGAAGATTCTGAACAATGACTTGCAGTTCTTGAACTTTGGTTGAGACAAGTTTATTGTCAACCATCTTGAATTCAAGAAACTTAGCGGCTATGAACTTCTTCATACCGGCACCTTCAGTTTTGTACTTCTTCTCGAGAGCCTCCCATAACTCTCGTGAAGTAGCAACTGTACAAAATACATTATATAATGAGTCATCTAAACCACTCAAAACATAGTTCTTACACAGGAAGTCTGAGTGCTTCCAAGCCTCAATCACCACGAAGCATTCCTATTCCGGTACAGACTCTGCCGGTTTAGGAACATCTTCCTTGATGTATCTTTGCAATGACAATGTTGTCAAGTAAAAGAACATCTTTGCCTGCCACCTCTTGAAATCAACACCGAAAAACTTAGTCGGTTTTTCCGCAGGTGCTGGTGCAGGGGGAGTCACTGTGGGTACAGCCACAGGCATAGCAGCAGCATTTTCAGCCATTTTCTGAAAATCAGAATACCACTTTTTAGTATTACAACTAAAGGTATCAGAATTTTAAAACCTTGCGGTAATAATTTCTGAACTCGATTATTTAACCACGCGGGTAATAATCTCAAAACCTCAATGAGGAAACCATAAAACTATTTAAGTGTTATTTAGATCGTTTTCAGGTAAGAGGGAGCCAACTCTATATATAGAGTGCATAATTATCCAACCTCTTTTCTTGGCAAAACTTTCTCACCGTCAACACTTAAATATTTTCTCGGTTTTTTTTTTCGAAATTGAAAAACTTTACTTTGTCTCCCTGAGGACAAAAGCTCGTTCTTCCACCAATAACGAGACAATATATAATAACATAATACACAGTAATTTCCTTAAGCTTGTTGGGTGTGTTACTTTATATGTCTCATATTCATGCATGATTAACTTTCAATTTCATACCAAGACTTTCGAATTTAATAACTTTCAGAACATACAACCAAATCATGCATGCTATACACCATTAGAAAAATAATTTCAATATCTACGAAACGATATCAAGAACATGCAATTCCGATAACAGTACAGAAAGTTATGATATCACCAATATCATTAAATCTATATATTTTTTTTAAACCGAAAAACCAAATCCGAACCCACGGCGAACCGTGTCTCCTTAAGGAAATTATTCCCCGTGCGGTACCTACGGTTAATAGAAATATATCTTCCCAGGTTAGGACGGACGTACCTCATCGGAACAGTGGTACTGCAAACTTCGGTGTCTTGTCGAACTCAAAGAACGGCTTGAATCACAACGAGAAAAAGATGTTTTTCTTTCTTTTGTAGAAAACTTTTGTGTTTTCTTGGTGTGTTTTCAAAAATGAAAACTTATACAAAAAATTGTGAAACTTCAAAAAGCCATAAATATATTTAAATTTGTAACAACAAATGGAGAATAACTTATACAAAAAATAAATGGGAAAAAACCTCCATTCATTTAATTTATAAAAACTCCAACACACCCTTTTCTTGTTCGCTTCGAAACTGACAAATTTCTCTTTTTCAACAGTGGTTCCGAATGTTTCCGGAGTTTCAATCGAATCCGTTCTACATCTCGGGAGAATCCTACGCTGGAATCTATGTGCCGACGCTCGCTTCTGAAGTCGTCAATGGTATGATCAGAATATCGTTTTATCTGCATCTTTTCTCTTCTTCGGGTATCTGATATAAACCGAAAAACATCGATTCTTGAATCTTTCTAACCGTTATATCGATTCCTCTTTAGGTATTAAGGATGGCGTAAAACCGGTTATCAACTTCAAGGTTAGGACAACTTCAGATCCAGCTCTTTTGTTGGTTCTGATTTAGTTTTCACCTCTCTGTTTGAAAAGTTTCATGCTTTATGAGTTTCTTTAACCAAAGACAATCTGACTTGGAAATCTGGATGTCTAATGTTTAGGGATATTTGATCGGCAATGGAGCTGCAGACCCGATTTATGACGGGAACGCTTTAGTCCCGTTCGTACACGGGATGGGACTAATCTCGGATGACCTCTTCAAGGTTCGTAATGCTCGTTTACCCGATATTTCTTTTTTCAGTCTTTTTTGTAACGCAGAACGAGTAATTTTCAGGAGGCTACAGCTGTGTGCCAAGGAAGGTTCTATAGCTCGAATGGACCCGAATGCGACGAAAAACTGGCTAAAGTCGACGAGGTAAATGAATTCGAAACCTTCAGGTATCGGTTTACATATCACGTTTTGACGTTTTTCTGAACTTTTTTCTCTCTCAGGACATCGCAAGATTGAACGTATACAACATTCTCGAGCCGTGCTACCACGGGACAACGTCCCTTTCAGCGCCCGATGTCAATTTGCCGTCTAGTTTCCTTGATTTAGGCAAAACTAAACGGCCATTGGCCGTGAGAAAGAGAATGTTCGGCCGTGCTTGGCCTCTACGCGCGCCTGTACTTCCAGGCCTCGTCCCAAATTGGCCTCAACTCCTCGAAAAACTCTATATCCCTTGCACTGTAAGTAACAAACGATCTGCCCTATTTGTTTTCACTAGCCGAAACTCATTATCCGCTGAAAAAACACGATGTTTTTTGGCAGGATGACAGAGTAGCAACGATATGGTTGGACGATCCAGCGGTCAGGAAAGCAGTTCATGCCAAAGAGGTTGGTCCATTTGATTGTGTTATCGTGTTCAAGTTCTTGAAAATGTAACGTTTAACGAGATCATGAAATTTGCCCGAGAAAATCGACAGGTCAGTGAGATCGGAAGCTGGATGCTCTGCACATCGAAACTCAGATATGTACATGACTATGGAAGCATGCTCTTTCTCCATAGAAAGCTCACTCTTGACGGATACCGAGCTCTCATTTACAGGTAAAATCACATCTTGAACTCGGAAAAGGAATTGGAGCTTCCGTAACATTCGCTAAATCTGATTTTCCGTGCAGCGGAGATCACGATATGTGTGTTCCATATACCGGTTCTGAAGCATGGACACGTTCTCTCGGATACAATGTCACAGATGAATGGAGGGCATGGATATCAAATGATCAAGTAGCCGGGTAATTTTCTTTCGCAAATATCGTTTCTTGCCGAACAAAAGCGTATTTCTCGTTCTTGAAGCGACATAATTTCCGTGTCCAAAATCTCATCTTTACTGCAATTTTCCACACACATTGCAGGTATACACAAGGATATGCGAACAATCTCACGTTTCTAACTATCAAGGCAAGCAAAAAGATTGAATACTCTATTTTAAACATATATACTTTTCTCACCGAGTTCTTGAAGAAAAAAAACGTCGTGTTATGCTTTTCTGATGGTTCTTTTTACGGCGAAAACCCGAGGGTTTGCAGGGTGCAGGGCATACAGTTCCCGAGTACAAGCCTCGCGAGTCGTTGGATTTCTATAGCCGGTTTCTTGCAGGAGAAAAGATATGATGAAACCCATCAAGATTCATGTTCTGTTCTGTCAGAAGTTGTTCAATGCCTTCATCTTCATCGTATGTTTTTGTACTGTTAAGTCTTTGAGTATATAAATAAAAGAAGTATGTGTTTTAAGATTTAACAGCATTGGAGTGTTATGGTTCTCCTGTGAAAGATAGAGAGAAATGTTGCGTATTCTGGTTCTGGTTTGCCGGACGTCTTGCCGTTTTTATTTTAGACGAACAGACGGCTTGCTGTTCTTCTTTTAAACGCATCAACTGCGTCTCGGCTTTATTTGATCACTTAGAAATAGACAGTCGTTCTCCGCCGTCGTAAAAATGCGGAGCGATTTCTCTACTCCGCCTCCGCCTCCGCCGGAAGGAAAACCCTAAATCACCGGAAATGGCGTATTAAACAGGCGAAGAAGTCGAACTTCCAAGACACCATAGAGGAAATTCTCATTTCTATCGATTCGTCGGACTTCGTCGCCGTCTCGCTGCAAAAACACCGGCTCCTAATCTGCCGCGTGGTACATTGTCAACGCCATGGACGCTCCTCCGGAGACTGCTTACTTGTAGGCTAGACATGCCGCCGAGCGCTACCAGATCCTCCAGTTCGCGCTATTTGCCTTTTCACGATTCGCGGTTCCAAACTTACCGTGAACCCGTACGGAATTTGGATTTCTAGCTTCGTCGATTTTGCATCAGAATTTATTAGGTTTTAGTTTTAATGCGGGTTTTGTAGGTATAACTTCCATTTGATTCCTCGGGATGGATTGAAAGTTAGGGATGCCCTCTTACAGCTTCTCCTGTCAAGCTTCCCGTTTTACGAAGGTGAATTCCCTGCTCCCTCATCTTGTTTGCGCTTTGGGATTTCTGAACAGGTTTGTTGAGCACTGTATTGCAAACTGAATTCCTTTGTTTAGTCCTAGGTAAACAGTTCATTGAAATTCTGGGGACAAGTAGATGTGTGTTCTTGTACTGAAGCTGTCTTAATGGTTAACTGATTTAGAATCTTCAGATATGAACCTGATTCTGAATCAAAAGCACCAGAGATGGACTGGACAAGCGGATCGGTGATCAACTTTGATGAACTATGTCTATAGAAGTTGATTCCATTACCGAACCAATGGATGCTGTCGAAGCCGTTGCTGTCTGGAAGCTTGAGTTACTTGTGTGTAACACATTGCTTCACAAATTTTCTCACCATTGAACACTTCTCAGTTCTCAGAAAGCTCTGTCCTTGCAGTTGTTTAGTTAGAAATCATGGTTATGCTGATTGGCTTGAACTGGTTCTGTCAGAGACAGGTAATTAGCAGGTTTCAAGCCAAAAGATTCAGGTGGCTAATGGCTATTTCTGGGCATAATGCTATTATTAGCCTACAAGAAAAGTGAAAGATCCTGAACCGTTGAGAGCCACTCTTCCCCCCCCCCCCAAATTTCTCTCTCTTTTTTTTTTAAATTTTAATGCCCTGCATTTCCAATCTTCTTTTCTAAGAAATTTAAAGCCTTAAAGTGCTACACAAATTCCCCATCTAATCATGATTTCATTTTCTTAGGGTTCTTTGTCTGATCAGTTTCCTAGAAAAACTTCTATCCAAGGTTTGTTACCGGAGTTTCTGAAGCATTTTAATTGTTGTCTTGTCTTGGTGGATTCTTGATCCTCTCTGTTCATCTTTGAAGGAGACGAGATGGATCCTTCCGAGCTTAGCCGGGTTTTCCAGATGTTTGACAAGAATGGAGATGGAAAGATCACGAAGAAGGAGCTCGACGTGTTCTTCAAGAACATGGGTGTTTATATCCCGGAAAACGAAATCAGGCAAATGATAGATAAGATGGATGTGAATGGAGACGGGTATATGGATGTGAACGAGTTTGGAGCGTTGTATCAAGCGATAATGGAAGAGAACGACGAGGAAGACGACGTGAGGGAAGCTTTCAAGGTGTTTGATCAGAACGGGGATGGGTTCATCACAGGCGAAGAACTCAGGTCGGTTTTGGCTTCCTTGGGGCTCAAGCAAGGAAGAACCCTAGAAGATTGCAAGAAGATGATAAACAAGGTAGACGCTGATGGAGATGGCATGGTTAATTATAAGGAGTTCAAGCAGATGATGAAAGGTGGTGGATTTTCTGCCCTTAGCTCCATTTAAAATCATTATGTAGATTTTGTTTTCTAAGTTTTTTCAATCGCATTTTGAAAACGTTTTAGACATTTTGAAATAATCATTTTGTATCGTGTCTACAAATGAATTGGATGTATTTTTTTTAATAAATTAATAGACTTGCAACCGAATTCTAAAAAAAAAAAATTGGAATAGAAGATTGAAAAATCAAACTATTTATATTAGATGAATATTTTTTAAAATAAAAACTGAATTTAAATAAAATTTCAATTAAAAAACCTGAAATAATAACGGTCGTATTTTCAAAATCGAAACTGCGAATCCAAAAATAATAGAATTAAAATTGAAAGTTCCAACTTTATATGTAAATTATATTCTAAAATTTAGTGTTTTTGTTACATGGAGACAAGGAAAAAATATGAAAGGGAATGTGGTGAAAGTTTTAATTACATAGCACACAGTGGATACCATAAATTTTATATATTGAATCAATTATTATATGTAAATCACATTCTAATCGAATTAAAATATATTATATGATGTTGCTGTTATAGCACACATGTGCTTTACAATGTTACATGTAAATGAAGTCATTTTACCATGTGAACAAAACAAACTCGATAAATGAGCTAAACCGGAAAAGGTTGGTTTTGGGTGGTAACCGGAGCAAATTCCATAACCGAGATCGGTTCGATACGGGTTTGGGCTTTATAAATTAGAAATAAGCTTGTACCAGAAACAGTGTGCCAACAGTGAGCTAAGCAAATCGAACCGGTCAGGCGATTGAGAAGCCCTAGCACCGGCGAGGAGAAGAGATGGCGGCGGCGGCTAGGGTTTCGTCATCAGCTTCGATGGCTCTTCGCCGTGAAGTTCGCCAGCTTCGTTTGTTGGTTTCTTCACCGATCTCTCACCGTTTTAATTCCGTCCTTTGCCCTGTCAGGTACTTCTCGTCGTACCCATCAACCATTCGAGTCCGAATTTGATTTGAGTGGTCGGAATCTGTGCTTATTGGTTTCATGTTGGAGTTTCTGGGGTAAGATTGGTACTCGTTCTGATAGAAATCGCTCATTGATGATGGAAAGCGTCTAGAAAGGAAAAATGTTGAATCTTCGGCTTAGAGGCAATGGAGTTTTTCCCAGATTTTCGTATTAGATTAGGATATATGAAAGCGGTAACATCATATTAAGATCCTGTTTGAGAAAATGTATGGAAATTCGAACATTTGAATGATTCCTGTAAAATGGGTCTGGCGGTGATGAGAAGTTTAATACATAGGGTTGAATGGGAATGAAGCAGTATATCAAGTGATGCCTATGGCTCTGTTCAAATGCATAGACCTTATGAAGTGGATATATCACTGTTCGAATTTGCCCTCTTAGTTGTGTCTCTGTTCTGCCTCTTTTACAAACCCAGATTCTGTCTCTGTATAAACTGATCGACGTTCTTTGACGGTAAACCGCTGGATAAAGATGTACTCATCATGTAGTAGCTCCGGTGATCTTTTGTGCAAGGTTTTGCATGAGGAATCTCTCGATCAACCGGCTCATAGAGTTGGAAGATTTCATCTTCGGGGGACGTCTTGGTTTCATTCAACTTCATTTCGCAGTTCTGCTGCTGATGATTTGCAACCCGTGAGTAAATCTGAGAACGTGTAAAGAGGAAAAAGTTGAAGGGAAAGAGAGCGGTTGTGAGATGGCTCAAGTTTTTCCGGTGGAAGAAAAAGAAAGAATATGAAAGAATGACTGCTGAAGAGAAGATACTTTACAAACTTAGAAAGGTGATACAAAACCTTAGTTCCGAGTGTATCTTGTTGCTGAAATTCGCGTATTAACAGCGTATATTCCTCGTCGTTTTTTGTGTTTGTGGTTCTACGAATGTACTCAGGCTCAGAAGAAAGAGGAACGCCTTATGGAGACGATGAAAAAACTCGAACCTGCAGAGTCAGCAGAAACAATGCATGACCCCGAGATATTGACACCCGAGGAGCATTTCTACTATCTGAAGATGGGTTTGAAGTGCAAGAACTACGTTCCTGTCGGAAGGCGGGGAATATATCAGGGAGTGATCCTGAACATGCACCTGCACTGGAAGAAGCACCAGACGGTACAGGTCGTGGTCAAGACATTCACACCAGAGGAGGTGAAGGAAATTGCCTTTGACTTAGCAAGATTAACAGGTGGAATAGTTCTTGACATCCATGAAGGGAACACCATAATTATGTACAGAGGGAAGAATTATGTTCAGCCTCCTACCGAGATTATGTCGCCGAGGATTACCCTCCCTCGGAAGAAGGCTCTGGACAAATCCAAATGCCGGGATGCTCTTCGGGCTGTCAGAAAGTATATTCCCCGGCTTGAACATGAACTCCAGTTGCGTCGAGCACAGGCTGAGACCAACCGAGATAACCCTAATGTTGTAGTTGATGCCCGAGAAAGCAGCCGGGTTGTGAGTTCAGTCCGGAGGTCAGAGCGGGTAAAGGAGATTATAGAAAGAAGTGAAGAGGGTTTGGAGGATGATGACCGAGAAGAAGCTGAATCAAAAATGGCAACGGATTCGGAAGATCTCTCAGATATTTTTGAAACTGATTCAGAATCAGAAACCGAAAAGGCTGATCGACCACTTTTTCTTACAGAGTTTGAGAAATTTCCAGCAGTACACGACCGAGAACCCGAAGACTTTGAGGAGCATTTGCGTAGCATATCATCGGAGTCAAGAAACGCTAAATCGAAGGTTGAAAAAGAAGATGACGATGACTCTCCAGATTTCGATGAAGTTGATAGGATGTTTCTGAGAGCCGCTTCACTTCTTAAGAAGAAGAGAAGATGAAGTACTTGTATACAGACAAAGGTCTAGTCACCTTTCTTGTATAACTCTTCTCTTAGTTCATGCCCTTTTGTAGAATCAGGAAGGTGAACACAAGACTGAATACACAGATGAATGAATGTGGTTACATTACACTACAATGGCTATGTACGGATGTTATGAATTTGCAATTCGGATTCAATTTTCTTAACATTCTCTGCAATATCTCGGATTCTGGAAGACAACTCTTCTGTGTGTTGTTCAACATTGTTCATTAAACTCAGCAACCTGTCTCTGTAAGCTTCACACAACTGATTCTGATGCCCGATCTCCCTCTCGAGCTCCTCGATCTGCTTGTCTTTGTCGGCCTGCCAGATTCGAAAACTCAGTAAACCACAGGATATATACACACACATATATATATATACACACATATACAAAACGTACAAGAACAGTATTGTATGGAGAAGCAGTGAGGAAGAGTGGATGGTTGTGCTCTTTGATGAATCTGGTGACGACCCATTTCCCAGATTTCTCCATTTTCACGAGGATCGTGGCCTTGCAGCCTTCTCGAGAACTGTGTCTCGGCCTCTTCTCTCCTCCAAGATGTGCACTTTTCTGACTGTTGGGAGAAAACCCTTGTTTGTTACAGCCGAGTCTCCGAGCGAGTGTTCTTCCGTCGATCCCCGATCGACGCCTCTGCATCATCCGCACCACGAACCCTAATCTTCTCGCGTAATCTACGTAGAAATTCCTCGCCTCGTCTTCGGAATCGAACTCATTTGAATGATTCCTGTAAAATGGGTCTGGCGGTGATGAGAAGTTTAATACATAGGGTTGAATGGGAATGAAGCAGTATATCAAGTGATGCCTATGGCTCTGTTCAAATGCATAGACCTTATGAAGTGGATATATCACTGTTCGAATTTGCCCTCTTAGTTGTGTCTCTGTTCTGCCTCTTTTACAAACCCAGATTCTGTCTCTGTATAAACTGATCGACGTTCTTTGACGGTAAACCGCTGGATAAAGATGTACTCATCATGTAGTAGCTCCGGTGATCTTTTGTGCAAGGTTTTGCATGAGGAATCTCTCGATCAACCGGCTCATAGAGTTGGAAGATTTCATCTTCGGGGGACGTCTTGGTTTCATTCAACTTCATTTCGCAGTTCTGCTGCTGATGATTTGCAACCCGTGAGTAAATCTGAGAACGGTTCCAATCGAGGTGGAGTAGGTTCTGCTAATGTTAAGAAAGATCCTGAACCGTTGAGAGCCACTACCATATCCATAACCAAGACCAGGAAGCCGAAACCACCGCTCCAATCATAAATACGGCGTAAATCAACCGGAGGATCGCGATTCCGATGGTACTAACCATTTCTCCGGCGATTCTCCCTCGCGCCTCGATGGGTATTTTTTTTTTCCTTCCTCGCGTCAGAACATGAAGGAAGAAGAATCGGAGAGACCTTGAAAATCGTTATTGATGATTCGTACAGGGACGACGACGATGGCGATTATGGCTATCGCTGACGAGAATTCTCCATAGGAGAGAGGAGGAAGAAGGAAGACAACGGTGCCAGCTCGAAGACAGAGGGATTAGGAAAATGATCAATTATTGGTGGAGATTGTGGGCCCCCGTTTTTAGAAGACATTTGGCCACCATCACCTACAGTTAATCCACGTAATCTACGAACTCCAGCCTATCGTAAGTCGCCACGTGTCTTCCAGCATTTTCACTATTTAACGCCGGCGGTGATGGTGAAGATGCGTACTACACACGCGCAACGCTAGGGCGTGAAGAAAAGTTTCGGACACCGATTTATTTAATGGCGTTGTCTCTCGATCTCGTCTACGGGATGAGACCGAATTAATGAGGTTTCCACGGCCAAATATCTATTGCGTTATATGTTCCATAATAATATTGGAAATTCAAATTGTTGTATGAATTTATTAAAGTTTATCGATAAATAAATGAAAATTTTTATCTTAAAAAATATACTAATTTGTAATTTTCTTTTAAATTTCTAAACGAATTTGTGTTAACTGTGTAAATGTTTCTGACGAACAATATTAACATGATTCACCGGATTTTCAACGTCAACTCCATGTGGCCAATTTTTGTTTTTGTTTTATTATTTATTATTTTTTTTAATGGTATGAAACAATTTTATCGTGTGAAATTGATATGAAAAATCCGTTTAACCATATCAACACCATTTATCATAAACAGTTACACAGTTAACACAGTCAGAATTTATTTAGAAATTTGAAATTTTTTTGTAAATTGATATATTCTTTTGAGAGATAAAATTTTCATATATGATAAGAAAGGGACATTCCATGTGAAGTGAAGGTTGTGGGATTTGATTGTTGTTATGATTTTGTCTTCCCAATTGGGCATTTGCCTATTAATTCTATTATTGGTGTTGTTGCTCTCTCCCTCTCTAATATTATTTTTTTGGAGTTATTGGTTAAGTGTGACAAAAAGATGTGGTGTTTTGCAAAGTATGACAAAATAGTTATGACCTTTGCAAACTATATCTTTTTATAAATTTTTGACACAACTACTCTTACTTTATTGTATAATTTCAATATTGTCATCTAGCGTCCCAAAAAATGTGCAATATAAAAAGCAGATTTTTTTGGAAACCGTGTAATCCGGGAGAGTTTTTTTTCATCCGGGAGAGACTGTTTTTATCCGGAAGAACTGTTTTTCATCCAAGAGAGTTTGTCTTTTGTCCGGGAGAACTGTTTTTCGTCCGGGAGAGTCTGTTTTTTGTCCGGGAGAACTTTTTTTGTCCGGGAGAGTCTGTTTTTTGTCCGGGAGAACTTTTTTTGTCCGGGAGAGTCTGTTTTTTGTCCGGGAGAATTTTTTTTGTTCGGGAGAGTTTGTTTTTATCCGGGAGAATTTTTTTTTTGTCCGGGAGAACTATTTTTTGTCCGGAAGGATTTTTTTTGTCCGGAAAAATCTGTTTTTCGTTCGGAAAAGTTTGTTTTTTTGTCTGGAAGAACTGTTTTTTTCGAGGGAGTTGTTTTTCGTTCGGGAGTGTACGTTTTTTTTCCGAATGAAAAATAGTTCTCACATATAAAAAAAATTGTTTTTTTATATAAAAAACATTTTTTCTTCTATGAAAACAATTTTCTCAAAAAAAAGTATTCTCCCAAACGAAAATAGAGTTTTTCAGATAAAAAAACATTTTTTTCGGATAAAAAAAGTCTTTTCCGAATGAAAAAATAATTTTTTCGGACGAGAAACAGTTCTTCTTGATAAAAAAATTATTTTTTCCGTATACAAAAACAGTTAAACCAAATAAAAACAGATTCTCACAGATAAAAAATAATTATTCCGGATGAAAAAAACAGTTTTCCGAGATAACACAGTTTCTGAATAAAATATATTTTTTATGTTGTAATTGTTTTGAATAATGGAAACATTGAAATTATACAATAAAGTAAGGGTATTTTTGTCAAAAAATTATAAAAATGTATAGTTTGCAAAGGAAGGAAAAAAAGTATAGATTTCTAATGACGTGACGTTTTTGGATACTGGTGCAAATTTTCCCTATTTTTTTTCTATTCGATTGCACAAAATTAACTAAAAAATCCGAGTCCAATATCAAATTTAGATTGGAATTAACGGTAAATGTGTTATTCCCGGATTTTTAATCGTATTTCTAATTTTTTTAGTATTCGAATATCCAATTCATTACAAAAAAAATAACATTTCTTTATATTTATTTACAATTTTATTTTTGGTAATAAAGAGATTTATGTCAAAAAAACATATTTTCTAGATACCCCAATTTAATATAACCGATTGTTTTCTTGGAATATTTCACGCTGATTTCTTTATCCTAACAACTCTACCTTCAATCCCAATTTATATCCATGTATAATCAAGACGTATAGAGAAGTTTTAAAAAAAAATTACCATAGAAGATTATGTAGAGATATGAAGGATATCATCATAATGTAAAATTTGATTTTATTTGGATATTTAGTGAATATTGAACTTAACTTGAAAAACAACAAACTAAAATTACCATGAATTCATAGGTAATCACATTTTATGAATCAAATGAATTGAATACGAATTGTGATATGAAAAATTGGAAATGAAAATTGAATTTGAAAATAAATATTTTTTAGCAAAAAAATGATTTCGAGCCTAATCCAAAACTAACCAAAATATCTGACACGTATAATTTATTTATGAAATCAAAGAAAATTAAAATAAAACCAAAGTAAAATCCAAAATATCCAAATAGTCATAAGAAGTTTCCAAGTTCAGATCTTTTCGTTTTGCAAAGAATCTGCAATAATAATCCGTGGCATGCATGTGCAAATCATCAAGATATTCTTCTTAATTCCGCATCTCTTCCGTACAAATACGAAATCCATTACACCACCGTCCTTACGAGGTTTTCTTCTGTGTTATCCTTCGTTCTGTTTTTTTTTTTGTGAGAGAATGGGTCGGTTTGTGGAAGCTTCTGCAGTTGCTTTGATATTGTCTTTGGTTGTTGTAATAACACATTCAGCTCCAGAATCTGCTCTTGTCACCACACTTCCTGGCTTCAATGGCACTCTTCCTTCCAAACACTACGCCGGGTAAGATTGATCCGTTCGATCGTATTCTCGAGACAAAACTCGTCTTTTTTCGCGTTTTGATTCTGGGTTTTGTTCCTAGTTTCGGCATCAGTTCTTTGTTTTTGATGGGTTCTGAAAAGTTATAACCTTTTTTTTCCACCAAAGGTATGTGACGATCGATGAGAAACGTGGCAAGAATCTATGGTATTACTTTGCGGAATCCGAGAAGGATCCGTCCGAGGATCCTGTCGTGCTTTGGCTCAACGGCGGTCCAGGTTGCTCGAGCATGGATGGCTTTGTCTACGAACATGGTAAAATACCGCGTTTTTCTCGCTTTCTTGTGTCCAAAGTAAGATATCTCGGTTAGGTTCCCGCTTTTTTTCGAGATTAGATTTCACAATCCAACCTGGTTTTTGATTATTTTCAGGTCCTTTTGATTTCAAACAAGCAAAAACAGACGGCAGTTTGCCACAGTTACGGCGCAATCCTTATAGCTGGTCCAAGGTAAAAAGAAAAGTTTGGTTCTTCCGGTCAATGATCGATGAACACAATAACATGTCGGTTTTCACTGTTCTAACGCTCTAGTTCCGTTCTCTGTCAGGTTTCCAACATCATATACCTGGATTCACCTGCAGGTGTCGGGTTTTCATACTCGGAGACCAAATCTGATTATTCCACAAATGATACGCAGACTGCCATTGACGCTCATGCGTTTCTTCTCAAAGTTAAGTATAAGAACGTGCAGTTTCCTGAATCACCCTGTTGGGTGTGTTACTTTATATGTCTCATATTTATACATGGTTAATTTTCAATTTCATACTAAGACTTTCGAATTTAATAACTTTCAGAACATACAACCAAATCATGCATGCTATACACCATTAGAAAAATAATTTCGATATCTACGAAACGATATCAATAACATGCAATTCCGATAACAGTACAGAAAGTTATGATCAAACCAATATCATTAAATCTATATGTTTTTTTTAAACCGGAAAACCAAATCCGAACCCACGGCGAACCGTGTCTCCTTAAGGAAATTATTCTCCGCATGGTACCTACGGTTAATGGAATATATCCTCCCAGGATAGGATGGACGTACCTCACCGGAACAGTGGTACTGCAAACTCCGGTGCCTTGTCGAACTCAAAGAACGGCTTGAATCACAAAGAGAAAAAGATGTTTTCTTTCTTTTGTAGAAAGCTTTTGTGTTTTCTTGGTGTGTTTTCAAAAATGAAAACAAGACTCCTATTTATAGGATGAAAAAATTGTGAAACTTCAAAAAGTCATAAATATATTTAAATTTTTAACAACAAATGGAGGATAACTTATACAAAAAATAAATGGGAAAAAACCTCCATTCATTTAATTTATAAAAACTCCAACAATCCCCCACATGAATGGAGAATTTTAGAAAACTCTTTAAAACCATGCAACCTTTGTGATTCAACTATGAAATTAATCGCATCTGGATAAGTAGGTTTCCCTTTGAACTTTCCATAGTAGATTTAAATCGGATATACTCACCAATCGGTAGATGCGATATCTTTGAACTGTCGGTTTTTTATGTATACCAAGGCAATCTAAACCACACAATTAATTCTTAACCGTCTTTGGTTCTCACTGTTGTGTTCGTTTCAGCCATGAACATCTGCCTGGTTTCATGAAAGCGTAGAGAACTGGCCAACCATTATTCTCCTTGAAGCGGCCCACACTTCACTTTCACATAGGTGGTTTCCTAAGCGTGTCATCTCTGAAGATACACTATTTGATCATGACAAATTTAGGAACCATTAAAAATTTCTTAGTTTTTAAGTTTTCTAACTTAAAGTCGTATAATTTACCCTTTTCCATAGAACATTGTCT